TACATCATTAACATCATTAACGAACCACACAAAAAAATAAATAACTTCGATCACCCTAACTCTAAACAAAAAAAAAAAAAAACACAATCAAACCATCCACTGTCTATAGCCAACGAAAGATCCTCAATCCTCTATCCTATCTGCTTGCCATTCGTTTCCCTTATGAAGAAATAAGTATAAGGGATTCCGATCGCACACACAGCGGCGTAGAAGGAATACAATCCTGCCTGTGTGAGACCGTCTTGCATTGGAGTGTACACTTGCAATGCCACGAAGTTCATTATTGTACTGATGGAAATACAAACACTGCTTGCCTGGAAAAAAAAATAGATCGATAGATTAATTAAACGTTAGGGAATTAAACATTCGAACTATTGTTATTATCATCATTGCTATTATTAAAATTATTATTGCTATTGTCGTTATTAATGTCATTATTATTATTATTATTATTATTAGGGAGGGAGGAAGGAGGGAGGGAGGAAGGGAAGGAGAGAGAGAAATGCAGAAACAGACAGAGGTACAGTAGACAAGGAAACAGAAATAGAAATACACAGACACTGAAAGACAAAAGGACAAAAAGACAAAAAAAGAAAGAGAGAGACAAAAACAAAGACACCGAGAGATGAAAACAGAGATAGAAAAAAAAAATAAAAAGCGAAAAAAAACACACACACACAATCCACTCACCTGCGACCGAATCCCCGTGGGAAAGTACTCATTGGCCAGAATATAAGGGACGGGATTCACGCCAAAACACGACCCGACTAAGAACAGCATCATAGCCACCAGGGGTACCCAACCGTAGGGAGTGGGTTCGGTGTCCCCTGCCCGTGCCCAATCATCCCCTACCTGGTACTCGTCTGCCCCTGTCAACCCCTGCCTCGCCCATGCCAAGGGGTGGAACGCCGGCCTGTTGAAAAGTGTGGGTTTTGTAAGGATTTGGTGAAAATTGGTTGTTCGTGTTTTGATAAATGTTTGGGGTTGTGTGTATCGGGTTATGTCAGTCTGTGTGGATAATGATATTATTTATATATTCATTTCTTGGTTTGTATAAGTTCTCTTCTTTTTTTCTCTCTCCAGGTCTCTCTCTCTCTCTCTCTCTCTCTCTCTCTCTCTCTCTCTCTCTCTCTCTCTCTCTCTCTATATATATATATATATATATATATATATATATATATATATATTTATATATATTTATATATATAAATATATATATGTATATATAATATATATATGTGTGTGTGTGTGTGTGTGTGTGTGTGTGTGTGTGTGTGTGTGTGTGTGTGTGTGTGTGTACATATATATATTTCTCTCTCTTCTCTCCTTCTCCTTCTTCTCCTCACCCACCTTCCTCTTCCTCCATTCTCCTCCCCTTCCCCCGTGATCCCGACGTACACCGCCATGACGATCAGGAAGGGAATCATCGACACGAACGACACGAACAGACTTTTCCGTCGCCCGATTTTGTCTATGATAAGCGAAGCGAAGATGGTCACCGTAAACTGTAATAAAAATGGAAAGAGGAAGAGAGAGTGAGAGAGAGAGAGAGAGAGAGAAAGAGAGAGAGAGAGAGAGAGAGAGAGAGAGAGAGAGAGAGAGAGAGAGAGAGAGAGAGAGAGAGAGAGAGAGAGAGAGAGAGAGAGAGAGAGGGGGGGAGGAGGAGAGGAGGAGAGAGAGAGAGAGAGAGAGAGAGAGAGAGAGAGGGGGGAGAGAGAGGAGGGAGGGAGAGAGAGAGAGAGAGAGAGGAGAGGGAGAGGGAGAGAGAGATAGAGAGAGAGAGAGAGAGAGAGAGAGAGAGAGAGAGAGAGAGAGAGAGAGAGAGAGAGAGAGAGAAAAGAGAGAGAGAGAGAAAGAGAGGGAGAGAGATGGATTAAAAAACAGACTGATAAATGGATGGACTGATAAACTGATAGACAGACTAATAGATTAATAGGTTAGATAAAATGATAAGTATTGTCATCATTTTCTTAGTTTTGCTATCATAATAATCATAAAAATGATAAAAAAAAAAATCATAACAACGCTACTGAATATGCTAATGAGATTAAACTGATAGTGATAACGATAAATGTTGATTTTATCTCGTTATCGTTATCATAAGCATTGTCATTAGCGCTGTTACAATCTTTCTTGTCCTTTTTATGATTATTATTGATAGCAAAACTAACAAAATTATAATAAAACAAAATTATTACAATAAAACATGATAACAATACTAACAAAATGATAACAATACTAACAAAGTCATAACCAAACAAACAAAATGATGACAATAAAAACATGATAACAATACTAACAAAGACATGACAATACTAACAGTCATAACAATACTAACAAAATGATATCAATATTTACAAAGTCATAACCATACTAACAAAGTGATGGCAATACTAACAGTCATAACAATATACAACAAAATGATATCAATATTAACAAAGTCATAACCATACTAACAAAGTGATGGCAATACTAACAGTCATAACAATACTAACAAAAATGACAACAATACTAACAAAGTCATAACAATACGAACAAAACGACAACAATACTAACAAAATCATAACAATACGAACAAAATGACATCAATACTAACAAGGTCATAACCATACTAACAAAATAATGACAATAACAACACCAAAAACACGCATAACCCTTGCAATTGCAGAGCGCACCTGGACGACCATGACGATGATTGCAGCAAGATTCTCGTCAATGGAAGAACCGGCTTCCTTGAAGAACCGCGAGGCGTTGACGGTGAACACGAAGTAACCTGGAGGAAGAAATGGATAAAGTTGGTGCATAGGGAAGATGAGAAATGATAGTGTAAACAAGGATAAAGACGATGGTATTTGTTGAATAGGGAATTAAATAAATCATAAAAATGTAGATAGAAACGTTGGCGGTGAACACGAAGTAACCTGGAGGAAGAAATGGATAAATTTGGTGCATAGGGAAGATAAGAAATGATAGTGTAAACAAGGATAAAGACGATGGTATTTGTTGAATAGGGAATGAAATAAATCCTAAAAATGGGGGAAGAAATTGATAAATTTGGTGAATAAGGAAGATAAGAAATGATAGTGTAAACAACGATAAAGACGATGTTATTTGTTGAATAGGGAATGAAATAAATCATAAAAATGTAGATAGAAGCGTTGGCGGTGAACACGAAGTAACCTGGAGGAAGAAATGGATAAAGTTGGTGCATAGGGAAGATAAGAAATGATAGTGTAAGCAAGGATAAAGACGATGGTATTTGTTGAATAGGGAATGAAATAAATCCTAAAAATGGGGGAAGAAATTGATAAATTTGGTGAATAAGGAAGATAAGAAATGATAGTGTAAGCAAGGATAAAGACGTTGGTATTTGTTGAATAGGGAATGAAATAAATCATAAAAATGTAGATAGAAGCGTTGGCGGTGAACACGAAGTAACCTGGAGGAAGAAATGGATAAAGTTGGTGCATAGGGAAGATAAGAAATGATAGTGTAAACAAGGATAAAGACGATGGTATTTGTTGAATAGGGAATGAAATAAATCATGAAAATGGGGGAAGAAATGGATAAATTTGGTGCATAGGGAAGATAAGAAATGATAGTGTAAACAACGATAAAGACGTTGGTATTTGTTGAATAGGGAATGAAATAAATCCTAAAAATGTAGATAGAAGCGTTGACGGTGAACACGAAGTGACCTGGAGGAAGAAATGGATAAAGTTGGTGCATAGGGAAGATAAGAAATGATAGTGTAAACAACGATAAAGACGATGGTATTTGTTGAATAGGGAATGAAATAAATCATAAAAATGGGGGAAGAAATGGATAAATTTGGTGAATAGAGAAGATAAGAAATGATAGTGTAAGCAAGGATAAAGACGTTGGTATTTGTTGAATAGGGAATGAAATAAATCATGAAATGTCGATAGAAGCGTTGGCGGTGAACACGAAGTAACCTGAAGGAAGAAATGTATAAATTTGGTGAATAGGGAAGATAAGAAATGATAGTGTAAGCAAGGAGGCGTGGATGAAGACGTTGATAATTGGTGAAGAGGAAATGAAATAAATCATTAAAAAAATGTAGATAGAAGCGTTGGCGGTGATTTGGAAATATGTGGATAAGGAAATGGATAAATTGGCGAATAAAGACGAAAAGGAATAATGGAAAATTGGAAAGAGACGAAAACATGGATAAAGAAACTGATAAATTTGTAAAAAGGGAAGAAGAAAAAATACTGTTTACAAAAAGTCATACTTAAAAAAAAAAAAAAATGTAGACGAATTATATAATCAAAGGAATTTTGTTATATTTTGCAATATCTGTTTGGATGATTTACGATAATCAGTGGCGGTATCTTTTTTATCATTTATTTCGACAACTGATAAGCACAATCATCCACCTCCTTCTCCTTCTTCTTCTTCTCCTCCTCCTCTTCCTTCTCCCCCTCCTCCTCTTCATCCTCTTTCTCCTCCCCCTCCTCCTCCTCCTCTACCTCCTCCTCCCCCTTCACCCCCACCACCACCACCACCTCCTCCTCCCCCCTCCTCCTACCCCCTCCACCACCTCCCCCTCCACCACCACCTCCACCACCTCCTCCCCTTCCCCCTCCTCCCCCTCCACCACCTCCTCCCCTCTCCCACCTCCCCCCTACACCCCCACCACTACCTCCCCCCCACCCCCTACTCCTCCTCCCCCCCTCCACCAACTCCCCTCCTCCCCCCCTCCCCCACCCACCCGTGAAGGCCTGTACGAGGAAGAGTCCGCAGACGGCGCCCAAGCCCTTCGCGACGTCCGCCTGTAGGAGTCCTCGCCACAAGGACCTTCCCTCGGCGCCGGCGTTCATCGTGCGGAAGCCCTGCGGGAGTCATGTTGGTTATGTGGGGGTTTATGTTGTGGTGGTGGTGGGGGGGGGTGTTGGTTGTGTGTGGGATACGGGGTGTGTTTTGGTTATGTGTGGGATGTTTATGTTGGAAGTCCTGGAGAGTTATGTTGGGTATGTTGGGTCTATGTTGTGTATGTGGGATAGGATAAGGGTTGTGTATGTTGGTTATGTGGGATGACGCATGTTTATGTTGGAGGTCCTGGAGAGTTAGGTATATGTTGTGTATGTTGCGTATGTTGGATATGTTGGGTCTATGTTGTGTATGTGGGTTGTGAGATAAAGGTTGTGTATGTTGGTTATGTGGGATGACGCATGTTTATGTTGGCTGTGTGGGTATAGGTTGTATAGAATGGGTATGTTGGTTATGTGGGATAAAGGTTGTTTATGTTAGTTATGCGTCCCTTAAGATTTTTTTATGTGGGATGCTAGAGTTCATGTTGATTAAGTGTAACAGAAGAGTTTATTTGGTTATGTGTTATGTAGGTTGTGTATATATATTGTACAAACATGTATGTATAATAAATATTAGAAATATATTATAAATAAGTCTAATATAAATATGAAACATAAAAATATACAAGCACATAGACATTTAGCTACGTAGACACAGAATTGCCGATATATAACTACATATGCTGGCATGTTGGTTAAAGTTCATTTGACTTTTTTATCAGCATTGTCAGCATATGCTTACCTCGATCTCAGCATCAACGTCAGCATGCTCTCCACGCAGTCTTATGAGGGTCTTCCGAGCTTGCTTTTCACGACCTTGATATAGGAAAAAATCGAATTATTATGTTTATTTTAGGGGAATATAATAGATACATGCATGCATACATATGTGAATACATGCTTACATGCATGTGTGAATACATGCTTACATACATGTGTGAATACATGCATACATACATATGTGAATACATGCTTACATACATACGTGAATACATGCTTATATATATATATATACATATATATATGAATACATGCTTACATACACGCGTGCATGTATACACACACGCATGAACACGCACAGATATACATACGTACGGACATACATACACACAAACTCACTCGACGTGCATTCTGACCATCATCATCACCATCGGCGTAGGGGCATTTAAAATTTAGGGGGGGGGGGCTGCAAATTTTCTGCCCGAGTGAAAGAGGAAGAGAAATTTCACCTGCCAGAAAATTTGTGATGAATGCCACCAGTGGCGTAGATAGAGGGGGTCGGGGGGGGGGGGGCGAAAAACCCACCTATAAGGCTAAACTGCCATTTTGTCGGAAAATTTCTGCACTTGTCGGAAAGATAACGATGGTTTTCTGTTTCGTTTAGTTCTAGTGGCCTTATGTTATGTTCAAAATAATAAAAAATGAGAATTAGTGTCAATTTTTTGTCGAGATATCTTCATTTCTCGCCCCCTCTATGAATTTCCCTATCTACGCCCCGGCCCAAAATTGCCCGAATTCAACCAGCATTTACCTTACACCTATGATCATCACCATCTAGTACCTTTTTCACAATTAATAACAACAATGTTTTTTTTTCCCCAAGAAGTATTATTATCAACCATTCTTTTCACCTCTTCACAAACACCAGCACGAATGAAAAACAAACAACCAACACGAGAAACTTTCTTTCTAAACCTGAACACGAAAAACTTTCTAAACCTGAACACGAAAAACTTTCTTTCTAAACCTGAACACGAAAAACTTTCTTTCTAAACCTGAACACGAAAAACTTTCTTTCTAAACCTGAACACGAAAAACTTTCTTTCTAAACCTGAACACGAAAAACTTTCTTTCTAAACCTGAACACGAAAAACTTTCTTTCTAAACCTGAACAACACGAAAAACTTTCTTTCTAAACCTGAAATAAAAGCAACGCACCTGTGACAGCGAGAAAAGCCGGGGACTCCGGGAGCAGAGCCATAGCCACCACGTAGGCCAAAGGAATCGTAGAGCACACCAGCGCGACCACGTAGTACCTGGCCACGTAGCCTATGACCACGGTTAGCACTTGGCCTGCGGGAAGTGGAGACAGGTAGAGAGAACTCACGTGTTGCTGTGTCTAAAAACCTCACGAATTTTGTAAATGAATATGCCTTTCTTGCTTAAAATGTTAGTATGTTGCATGTCATTATTCCATATATGAACAAGCAGTAATAAATAAAATCCAATCCCACTTATTTGAGTATCAAACCCCTCCCAATTTATTACTAATCGTGTATTACTTAACTATATAAGTAACAATTAAGTACAGGTAAACCAATTACTTAACAGCGATTAATGGCCAATCATTTGACTTCGAAGGCACCAACCAATAACCAAATATTTAATAATCGAATTCACCATTTAATTACCATTTGCTTAATTACTAGAACACCGATTAATTACCAATTATTGAATTATCAACCTCCATTAGCTAATCATCAATCTCCAATTACAGACTTACCAATAACTAACTACTGAATCACCAGTTTTTTAATACTCGAAAACAGAAAACACCCAATTCATTACCGACCATGAGAGTAACCAATTAGCGAATTATTAACCACCAATAATTAATCACCAATCATTCTATCATTCAACTACCGAATTTTTAAACATCAATTATCAATCACCAATCGTTCTATCAAGGAAAACAACCAATTACAGTTATCAGTCACCCCTTATCAATAACCAATTACCGAATTATCAATCACCCATTACCGAATTATCAATCACCAATTACCGAATCATCAATCCCCAATTACCGAATTATCAATCACCCATTACCGAATTATCAATCACCAATTACCGAATCATCAATCCCCAATTACCGAATTATCAATCACCCATTACCGAATTATCAATCACCAATTACCAAATTATCAATCACCAATTACCGAATTATCAATCACCAATTACCGCATTATCAATCACCAATTACCGCATTATCAATCACCAATTCATCCCATCACAGGGAAAAACAGCCTCTCTCCTTTACCAAGCATAAGAGCAACGGTGGGGATCAGCGCTATAGCTCCACGTATTTCGACATCTGCCATCTCCACAGCGTACGTGTTTCCTGCCACGGACATACTGCCACTAGCGACCCCTGCAATGGCCCTGGGGGAACGATAGAGGGTAGTAAAGAGATAGATTGTTTGCTTATTAAGGTCGTTTGGTGGTTGTTAGTTGGGGGGGGGGGGTTGTATCGATGAAGATGGTTTGATAACTGATTGATGGATATATTTTATACGCTAATCAAAGTTATTGGAAGATGCCAATATAGGAAACGTTTGATAAATGATGGATGAATATACTTACATCACCGACATGCAAAGAAATACACACATATTGTATTCTGGAGAAAGGAATTTAGATTAGTGGATATCAGGGTGATTAAACATAAGTAGTAGATAAGTGGTTGCAATTTGCAGTTTCCTTACATTGAAAGTGATATCCTGTGTGAAATATCAAGAAGAGGATAAAGGCACTGAAATGTGATAAGTAATGTGACCTATTTTCAACACACATTCACAAACACATATCAACACATAAACAACGCACACAAACACATGACTGCAATGAAAGGAAGCCGTATTAACACACATGAACATACAATCGTAAAAAAAATAATGATAAATAAACAAACAAAAACATACACAAACACGCACAAAAAAAAACACATCCACCCACCTTGCCACGAGCAGCGTAATGGGCGTGGGCAAGAAAGCTACGCCCATCCACGACGCGAAGCAGACCACGCCCGAAAGGATCTTGGAATAGCGCCGCCCAATCACAGCCATGAGGAACCCTGCTAGCCACGCCCCCGGGAGGGACCCCAAAGACACCAGACTCCCTAGGGGGGGGGGGGGGGTAAGTAGGTCAAAGAACTTAATCAGGAAGTTTAAAGAGAGTAATGATAACGTGATAAAAATGAGGAAAGACGTAGCAGAAAAAAAAAGAAAAAAAAGATCATGAGAATGGGAATACTATAATAATAATAATAATAATGATAATAATAATAATGATAATGATAATAATGATAATGATAAAGATAATGATAATGTTAATGATAATGATAATGATAATGATAATATTAATAATAATGATAATAACAATAATAATAATAATAATAATAATAATGACAATAATGATAATAACAATAACAATAACTAATAATAGCTGATAAAAATATATAATAATAATGATAATAATAATAATAATAACAACAACAATAATAATAATAAATAATGATAATAACAATAACGATAATAATGATGATAATGGTAATGATAATGACAACGATTGTGATTCTGAAGAAGATGAAGATAAAAATAAAGATAAAGACGATGATGATAATAATAACATAATAAAAGACATTTTGTCTCTCGTCCATTCTTCTTCTTCGTATATTATTAATCTTCTCTATTATCTAAACTATCTATTTATTCCTCGCTTTCTTCTCTCTTTTCCTCCTCTTTTTCGTTTTTTTTTTGTTGATGTTTTTGTTTTTCTCTCTCTCTCCAAAAAGCGCAGAAGGAATTCTAAAGTAATGAAATAAAGAAAATCCAACTTCGTGAAAAATTTATGACTTGAAGTTTGTTTACGTTTTGGCTGTCCGTTTGAATAAAAGTTTGAATAAATTCGGTAAACTGTTGATATTTACCTTTCAGTTGTTTTTCTAATGTTATTGTTGACTGTGTCTACTAAAAAATATATATATACTGTTTGTCTGAAAATGTCATCATTATATACATATCGTAGCTGTGATGAAATTTTAGTTTCGGTGCATTCGAGTTTGACTATATCCGAGACAATTTTTTTCTCTCTCTCTTGTCTGTAGACTTTTTTGATACTACATATCTGTGTTCTTTATTTTTTATCCTCTCTCTTTCTCAAAAAAAAAAAAAAAAAAAAAAAAAAAAAAAAAAAAAAACATTAACACCTAAAATCTAGTCTATTGGTTACCGTCTCATGACCAACCCCTATAAGATTTTACAACCTGTCTGTACTTTTAGTAATATACTGCTGAGATACTAGTAAACGTTGGCAAATACTGTTAATAATAAGTAACATATATATAATAACCATCATAGAGTGAGGGATAATATATAAGCCGCATGTATTGTAATCGTAGATGATTGTTTATACTTACATATATTATTAGAATATACATTTATATATGGGTGTGTGTGTGTGTGTGTGTGTGTGTGTGTGTGTGTGTGTGTGTGTGTGTGTGTGTGTGTGTGTGTGTGTGTGTGTGTGTGTGTGTGTGTGGGTGGGTGGGTGTGTTTCTGCATGTATGTATCTATGTTCATCATCATATAAACTTATAATCACTATAAACTAGAACATATTTAATAATTCTAAATATTCCTAATGAGCAAAACATTCGTTACTATTTTCCTCTGATGAAAATACGACACAGACCCCTTATATACTTCTTTATATCCTATGTATACCCATAACAAAGACATACCCCAAATCTACTTTAATTACTAACAAAAACGGCATATACCAATCCTACCATATTTACTAGCAAAAATACAACACTCTTTTTTGTAATAATTATGTGGAAACGTTATTAAGGATTATATTTAACGAAGAGGGAGGATAAAGGATGAACGTGTGAGAGGGAGACGGTGGAGAAAAAGGATGGGATGGGAGAGAAAGAAAGAGGAAGAAAGTGAGAGAAAAAGAAGGTTTAGCAAAATATAAGAAGAAGGGAGAAATGAAATAGGAAGAGAGAGAGAGAGAGAGAGAGAGAGAGAGAGAGAGAGAGAGAGAGAGAGAGAGAGAGAGAGAGAGAGAGAGAGAGAAAAGAGAGAGAGAGAGGGGGAGAGACAGAGACAGAGAGAGAGAGAGAGAGAGAAGAGAGAAGGGAAAGAGAGAGAGAGAGAGAGAGAGAGAGAGAGAGAGAGAGAGAGAGAGAGAGAGAGAGAAGAGAGAGTAGGAGAGAGATGAAATAAAGAAATATAGAGATAAACAAAAATATATGCATAACCATTTACCCATCATATCCTTTTCTGTGTCCGTAAGTATAAGTTGATCTCCTGTGATGGTGGTGTTGTAGTTTTCCAGGTCGCTCACAGCCACAGAAGGGAAAGTTATGTTGCTTCCAATTGATAAGTGACCGAGGCTGGCAAGAATCACGATGCATATCTGTGAGTGAAGTTTTTTTTTTAGTCTTATTAAATGCAGTTTTTATTTTGTGGGTTGTTGTTGTTGTTGTTTTGGTTGCTGTTGTTGTTATTGCTATTTGTTATGGTTTGTTGTTATTGTTGATTTTTTTATTGTTATTTTCGTGATTATTGCTCTTATCCGTTTTATTGCTATTATCTATATGATATTAAGGGTTAAAATACCGAAATTAAAATCATCATCATCATCACCGCCATCATCATTATCAGAGTGGTCTTTAGTGCAGGGGAATGGAAGGAGTCTTGACTTGTGGGCTACTGCTGAAGAGAGAACTTGACTCCACGTGTCTGCCGTCTCCCTCTCTGTCTCTGTCTGGCGTTACGTCTCCTTTCATACAGCGGCTTCCTTCGAGGGCGGGTGTTTGCTTCCGTTGCTGAAGTGTCAAATAAAGAAGAGTGGACACCTGCGTCTACTCCAGGAGGAACTTGCTACAGAAAGGCAGCTGCTGGGGACAGAGTTGTAAAGCGAACCACCCGTCCTTTCTAGTGTTGTTTACATCGCACGGGAATCGTCTTCGGGTCGCCTGCAATACCTGAAACACTGCACTAAGCGCTAAGGGACACAGGTTTTTGCTAGGTCCTACAGATGGGCGCTAGGGTCATCGCGTGCCAGAGTAGCGGTGTGACAGAGGCTTCGCGGTGAGGGGTAACATTCAGCAGCAAGATCACATCGTCTTCAGAGGCTGAATAAAAATGTACCAGGCCAGTAAAAGGACAAAGGAGGAGAATAAGGATATGCTTGTCAATCACTTTACTAAGCTGCAAGAGCATGAAAGTGTAATAAGAACGATCTGTCACAGAAAAGGCACCGTGTCATGTGACGTATTAAATTACTTAGGATTTGTTAGGATTGACGAGTATAGCATAGTACCATCATATTGCAGAGAGAGAAAATAATGAGCAACAATTCCATATCTTTGGACTAAATAGAAAAATACTTATGCTTCGGACGCATAGAGGCAGCTGGGCCTGAACTTTATTCTACCGTAAGCGTCTCGTCAATCGTAACTATCGTGTGAGCAAAGGGAGCATAACTTCTCCGTGTAGCGAGCGCCATATTCTTCGTTTACGGCCATGAGCCAGGTTTAAATTCAACTTCGGTGTATAACTATGTAAACTCATTCGAGGCAAGGTGTCTGCAGTGCATTGCCATTATTTGCAACAGAATCGACTACCGCCCGTTAGTTACATATTTACTTATCCACCGGAACCTTACGATTAAAGAAGCATAAATTCCAGCAAAACTTTGAACGAGACATGAAACTTCGAGAGAACATCATGAAAGCGAGTTAGGTTCAGTTCTAAGTCAAAGGGATGGCACTTGGTACACTTCATAATCCTAGAGGGAATTCCGTATAGAGCGGCCAAGCAGGTGTGACAGGGCTAAGAGCAGGTAATCGACATGTATGTATGAATAAACAAAGGG